TAGTAGTTAAAACGGTAGGAAGAAATAATATATGACTTTCCGAAATTAGATGGTTATTCAAATTTATGCTGTTTATAAGAAGAATTTGAAGTTAGGAGGACTTTTGAGTTACATTATAGAATAGGGCTATTGATATATTGACAAACAGTAGCCAGATGGATCATATTTTCGGTTTTTTTGATAGTTAGAATTAGCTAATGCTCACTAGAAATAATCAAGGTTATGGAATACGCTACTGTGACAGAGAATATCAGTATACTAAGTAGAAGTATTTAGTTATTATCAAAGTAAGGAGATCGATCAATAGGAATCAGGTTTTTTTAAACGAATTAATAAAGCTGTCTCGAAATTTGATTTTTCAATTCCTTAGTTGAAGAAATATGGAACAGATTACTAGTATTGTTTATTGAATTACATTTATAAATGTTAATATCCCTAAAAACCGCAGCAAATTTATTTGCTTGTTTTAATTTGGTATTTTTTCAACTTTTTTTTACAGGAAATCGGGATTAACAATTTGAGAACTAGACTCAGTTACTATTAGTTTTAATTTTATTGATTCAGAGAAAAAACCCATTGAGCAACACAATTCGTTTCGGTTGTACTGGTTTTGTGTCATTAACAAAACAAAAAAATAACACACCTAATAATAATTAAAAGTATGCTATTTATTTCCAGTTGTTAATAATCACATTTAAAATGTAGTCAACTACTTACTACAATTAGACAGGTGGTAAATTAAAAAATACGGTGATACGAAATATATTGTTTAAGCTTGGTCAAGATGATATCCCCCAGAAAATTACGATTAAAGCGCCCAAAGAAATTCTAGAATTACTTTGTAAGAAACACAGTGAAATGCTCAAATAGATGAATGCCGCTTTACTTGATGTCCTATATCAATTCTACATAATCTTCATAAAATTTCAACGTCATTTCGATTGAATATTTATTGGTTACTGATAGAAAGTTTATGTGAGGAATGTCATATTAAAAATTTATAACATTATGTCGTTCTATGAATTTTTTCCGAACTTTCGAGTGAGGAGACGGTTTCTCCGAGATACGTGGGGTTTTCATTTTCTATGTATTACTGATAATTTGATCATTGAGTCATTTATTTTAGCTTACTTCACAGGTTAATAAACTTGAGATGATAACGGTAGGTATCTTCGTTCATTTCGGTCAAAGTATAACAAAACTATCGTACTGAACGTTAAAATCAAGGAAACAATGAACATATACCATACGGAAACAAAAATAATTCTAAGTTTAATAGGATTAAAAAAGATTTGTCACCAAAAAGTAAATTGTAATTTTTATAAATCGTGAGTGCTTTCATGAATCGCATTAAACAGTTGGTTATTTTTAGTAATCACCTTATGAACCTCCGACTTACACGTCTAATCTGCAAGACATTAGGTAAACATCAGAATAAGGATTTGAACTATGACCATTGGCTGAAGCTGATTTAAGCATAATGTTTTCCTTTATTACTCGCAACTTACTAACGCGACCAAGTTTCGGAATTAAGGGATTCCAAATTCCTTAGGTTGTGACTTTGTACCTACCAATTATGTTTAAATGTCGAATGTCTTCTTTAGCTCTTACATTTCTGAATGTACCTACTAAGAATGAAGACCAATGCGTAGGATGTTTAGGTAAAAGAGTTAAAGTTTGGTTTTGTGTGAGAAATTCTCAGTAAAAAGTGTAAATCCTTCTTGTCCTTCCTACCTATTGGAAACTAAATTCGGTTTCTAGAGACTTTAGAAAGTGATAGACATTCACAAAAATTCAATAAGCGAAACACCATGAAACTAAGTAGCAGAAGAAAGAAATATATCCAACATGATACTACCATGATATCGGTGATTAGTTACAAACTTTACTACATATAGCGTGAAAACAAGTATATCCCACAGTATACCACACAGTACCTTCAGTGAAAAACTACTCAATCTGGATTTTGGATACTGTCACTTGAAATGTGAATGTTTCCAGTCCATATGTTTTCATGTTTTGGTGAATCGAAATAAACAATAAAGTGGTTTTGCATTAGCACCTACTTAGAGAACCATTTAGTTGACAAAGACGAAATACTATGTCTTTAGTCTGTTAAATTATGAAAGTATGTGATTCAGTGAATCACCCGCTTGTCTTGATAGATTGAAGATGATTGGATTAGGTAAGGGTTTAGAAAAGAGATAGTACATTGGTGAAGGTAACAATGTTCAGATTCACACAGATTAGCATTTGAATGAGAATCAAAGGCCTACTTACTGCTCACAAATAGTGAAGTATTTAATAGAGATCAAGTCATTTCTCTGCTATACATATATATTATTAAGTATATCATAAGGATTGTGATAAGGTGTATCAATTCAACTTTAAATGTCTCATCATGTGAGCAAATTATTATAAATATTATAGCAGCATTAATAAATTATCACTGTTGTCTATTTTTAATGAGATTTAATCATTTTATTGAGTTTGACAAAAAAGTCTTTTCAAACACATTTCTATCATCTGATGTTAATTTTGATTGAAGTGAATAGACTTTATAAAGCTAAAAACATGAGAAAATCTAATTAACATAAAATTAAGTTTCTTTGAAGTTTATTTAACGTTATCCTTTGAACATCAGGGTGTGTCTGAATGGTTCAATAATTACATTTTTTGTTCTAATCGGTTTGATAACATTCACATATAATTCAATATAAAGAGGTTGAAAACGAACTAGCTATTCCACCCTATCTTAATAATTACTGAAGAAGTATACACTTAAATTAATCCATTCCAGAGAAGGAGATATTCAAATTATAGTCTATATAGCATTCATGGAAAGTGGAACTTCAAAGATAATGTAACCGTCAAAACAAAAGACGAAAGTTTTAGAAATTTAGCGACTGACATTAAAGCAATTTGTGGGTATCAGCCAGGTTTTAACTTGACGAATGGTCATGTGACCTGGAAAACATTCCTTCACGGTGTTAAAATTATAGACAATTTTTTGAAAAAAGACAAAAGTATGAAAAGGAGACCTCACATATTGCAAACGTTCCTTTAAGCCCTTCTGTGCTTGCATTTATATTCCTTCTAGTAATATTCATTTGGAATAATGTTTTCTTTTTAGGTTAATTAAGATTGTGTAGTATTCCTCAATGAAGATTGGGGGGTAACAGTCGAAATATGACATGCGATTACTATGTGGAGTGGCACTATAATGTTGTACTTTGTTATAATTCAAATGCCGCTAAATCACCCAAAAATTAAGTTTTCCTTATCCAAATGAAAAATACATTAGACATTTAATAACTGACTACGTAATCTAAATTATATTAGATGGTACGAGTTGCCTTAAACCTGACAATTCTTAGATATCAGTACTAATGACAGTAAAATCTGAAATAAACATGATTAGTGAAGCATCTTACACAGCGTACAAAGAATGAGAAGAACAAAATCGTGGCGAAAATAAAGCAACAATTCAGAAACTTTCAGAGAGTTTATACCCCCCTATGTACTTACCCTTATAAAAGTACATATTTCATCACTTATACAATTTAGGATCCTGGTTAAGATTTGCCACTTCTATCAATCGATTTAACAATCCAATCTTCGATAAAAAGAAAAAAATTCAATTCTGTTATTACCCTAAAACGTTTCTAGAAAGCAGTATCAATAAATGTATTAAATGTTTATTTCAGTTCTGATATTTACAGTCCTCTTAAAATTTCATTTAGTCTAAAGCTTTTGTTCATGATGATTTTAGATCATTGTCATTGCATAGTAAATGTTTGTATTTATCAAGAGTATCTTGAGAATTAAATCAGTGACTTGAATCATATTTCGCTGCAATAGGAGTAAAGCGTTTTCGGCACTATAAAGTCGAAGATTAGTACGTAGCCACATTTCATATTTAGTCTCAAATCCATTTTATGATGCAATTTTTTCTATCCTTCTATAGACATACATTTTTCATATAACTATATATACGAATGTACAGCTTTAGTAAATAATTTCGTCGAAAAGAAAATTTTCTTCGCTGGATTCGCTTTTACTTATTCGAAGCTAATTCTTCGAAAACTGTATATTAAATTTGTATGATACTCAGAGAGCGTAGCCGTACTTCCTAGAAGTTTATGTATTGTGATAATTGTGCTCCTGAAAAGCCGTAGACTTGATTGAGGATATTCCATTTTAAAACACTTTTAGTAGCTTCATTAATTGATGTTTAACTGCGACATCTTATCTCATTAAATTAATCCCATTCTCCTTCTAATGATTCATTACTAGGGTACTCAGGTGCATGTTTATTTCAAGTGTTAACTCACATCGCGACAAAGTATGCTAAACTGCATTTATAATTTGACATTCGAAAATTACAGGATTTAATAAGCTTCAACTATAACTCACTAAATAAGAGGAATTTATATTATTCAGTTCAAGTTTAATTACTTTTGACTTCATGTGAATAGAATAAAAATGGACTCAAAACCATCTGATGGTCATTAGTATGTAATTTGGCTGTTCATCTTACAAGGAAGTCAAATATGAATCGATATTGAATAAGTGTTATTTACCGTCCATCTGCTAATAAATATTATTGTCGCTCATGTGGACATTTTAAAAGTCTTATTGACGTCTTATCTCCTTAGCTGAACATTAAATAATCAAACTGTTTAGCTAGTGGTAGTAACAAAACGATAGGTTATCCTGTGTCACCAATGTCTGCAATATTTAATTTTTTTAGTAAATCATGAATTTGTTCTAGAACTATTGCTTCTCACCTTTATCAAATATATTTCATTACTATCATAATGTGGAGGGAATGAGACATTATTGGGCTTGTGAATTGTTTGAGGTAATCATAACTTCATCGACAGAGGCCAAACAGTAAACTTTATCTCACTGTAGCTTCACGGCACAGTTTCACAGGTTAATATAAATGACCGTAATTAATGGAAATAAATAAACTGGACACAAGATTTAGTCTTTAAGTTCAAACAGGAATGTTTGTTTTTATTCTGTTGAGTAAAACGGTTCACATAAAAATTGATTTAGTCTCAGTTGAATAAAATAATTGAAATTGGACAATACATTTTAAAGTTATTTGCTCATCATGCATCAAAGATTATTCATTTAGTTTCTACTACCCATAATGGTTCTGGACCGCGTTTAGCGTACGCCCCAGCAAATGTAGCATCCTCACACTGACTTAATATATTCTCCATGGTTTCTATAGAGTAGCGGATTCTACTGATTTGAGATGTGGAACAAATTTCATTTGACTTAGTTTTACTTGCTTCGATTGTTTGCCAAGTGAAAACATACAAAGTGATTGTTATCCAGAGTAAAAGTTTTGTTGACATCTAAACAATAAAGTGAAACAGGGTAATAGAATAACTATATAGTGTTACATGGTAGAACTATTTATATATTGTATTTTAATTAATTAGAAGTGAAATGAAACTAGATCTTAATACCACTTACTTTCTTATAGACTGACAAAGCATTCTGTAATGCTATTTCAAAGGTTATTCATCAGAGAGTTAACAGTCTTTAAATGCTAGTAGTTTTTTAAATGTCTAGTTAGCTTTACATAAAGTCAGAGTGACAATTATTTAAATTTAAAAAGGAAAAATGTCTCAAAATACAAGTTGTATCATAGTAATAAAGTGACGATTTCGATAATATTTCCCATCAGATAATATGGTTTGTAAAGAATATCATTAAGAAATCAGTTGTAGCAAGCTGTTATGATTTACGGTAATAACAATATAATTCTTAAGAGAGGACATCAAAGAAGATATTTTAGAATTTTCAGCAACTAATGTCATACTGGATAATTAGAGCATTCAATTCAACAATTCAGTTATGAAGAGATCAACTAGTATTTAAACATGATCTTTTTCAACTGTAAATGTTTGCTTTTACAATTTACATAAGAAAAAGAAAGAGATAAATATAGTTGTGAAGAAACGAAATATGCTTTTGACGTTTATCAACGCATATAAGCCACCATTGTTTATAGTAAAGTCGGTTATCACTTTCTTTTTTAAATCTTCACAATATGTAGTTCATGAAGACTAATCTATTATCTGATAGAACTTAAATATCAATCAACAAAACTACTTACTTAGATATACCTATTTTAACATAGACGGAATATAAACTAATGCCAAGAGTGTTAGCGCTAGGTATTAACTTATTTTAATTAATCCAATAGTAAAATATTAATATTTCAGATTGATAGCAAGCAAGATTAATGACACTAGTTTAAAGAATAGAAGTCAATCTTCATTCTGACTTTTTTTACTTACATATTATTATTCATTTGGTCTACAAGATGTTAGCAACAAGGTTCAATCTGAGTTAAACTTCACTAAAAATTTAAAGGTTTAGAATATTTATTTTTATGCCTGTTATATCCGACAAGAATTATGAATTGTAACTATTGAGAACTATTTATGGACCAATACGAGGTATATATTTTTATTGTATAATTGTTAAGTAGCTAAACTACACATATTCATGTTCCTCTTATTTCATTTTGACCCATAGACTATTATTATACGATTTACCGTTCTTGAGTTCTACCCACTCTATTAATTACAGTGTCACACATTCACAGCCACTACTGGCTATATCTTGTACGAATGTTATTTTCTATTTTATGGTACGATGTGGTCTGTTTGGTTGGTATATAAACCCAGTTTGTTTGAAATACATGATTCATACCGCAGAGACTGAGGTTGGTGTTCAGGACTTGATAGGCAGGGTTAGACAGGAAGAAGGGCCGATAAGGACTGTAGACTGCTCGTACGGGTTTATGCGTCATTGGTCCGGTCGATAAGTCACTGTTTTCTAATTGGCGATATCATTACGTTATATTTTAATAGGACCCAAGTCCACAAGGTATAACAGTACCATAGCACTAATTTTGTATGCAATAAAATAATATTCATTTATATCCCAATAAGTAATCAACCATATTAAAACTTTTAAGTAGATGATACACATACATGTACAGTATGACAGAACATTTCATAATTTTATCTTAATAAATATGTTTAGCGATAAATAGTTGTTTGTGAGCCTGGATTTTCAAAATTATTCCCGATTTAAACCTTTCGAGTTTGTTACTACGCTGAGTTGCACTTTATATTTTGTATTTACTTCAGCTTATCACTCATTCCTCTTTAATCAGCCTATTTCAAGCAAAGTGGACAAATAAACTATGAATATTATCAGAACAGCTGAGGAGTCACATACTAGGACGAAACGGCCGTTCAGTGCTTCCAGGTTTTCAATAGAGGTCTAGCTCGTGAATTCAACTACTAAACAATGGATACTTTATTTGAATTTTTGTGTAAGTTGAATCATATGAAGAGAATTTTAAACCTTAATCAGTCATTATTATCTTCTAACATCTTTTCATGATAACTGTTCGATTATTACTTCGACGTCTTCATATATGTTAAGTAGACAATTACCTGTCATATTTCCAACCCGTAAATTATTTTCATCCTTCTATCATTTTCTAACCTCTCGATTAGTACACAACCTGCTTTTGATATTTGAAATTTCGGACCAGTATATGTAATCACTTTCTAATCTACTACAGACTCACAATTCTTAATACGAATGTACGACTTTGGTAAATAACTTTGTCGAAAAGAAAATTTTCTCCACTTGATTCTCATCATTTCCATTCATCCAGACAATGGATTTCCTTAATATTTAAATATTTGAGTGAAAAGAAATTTATACACGCTTCCATGTATATTTGAACGAATATTTTCACAATGGTTGGTCTTGGTAGTATAGTATGATGAAAAAAAATGGGAGTCAGTGTTTAAAAAGACCTTAACGATTGAAATCTAAGATAACTCTAACGTTCCACTCGTTAGTCTGGCTGTAACTACTTCAGTGACATAATGAAAAGTCAAAATTATCGATGAACTTGATTTGTGAAACACTCTATAGTCTTGCATAGAATTCCTTTGTTTATGTTTGTGAAATTTATAAAAATCTCAGATATTAATAAGCTAGTGCTTGTATACAAGATGTGTAGTGTATTTTGTAAAATTTTCAACTATTCTCTTTGGAACTCTAATATTTCAGTACTTCACAGATTAAATCTGGGTATTTATGAATAAAGAGTCCTTTTTTTGTTATCAAAAAAACAAACTGATTTGCAACTAAACTTGAGGAAAAATGAGTAGTGATGTACAATTTTTTAAAATCTTTAGAGCTGCAAATTGTATAGAAATTATAAAAACTATAAAATAATAATTAAGAGACAACTTACAGCTTAGATTATTTGAAAAATTAGTTAGACTATAGTTTTCCGAAAAACACGGTTAGTTGTTATGATGATACGCATATATTTATATTTTTGAATCAGACTTTATATGAATTTTGAAAATGTGTGATTGGTTGTCTAAACTATTTGAGCCAATCATAGAGTTTTAAACTGTTAAGGGGGTTTCAAGTTTTTCTTAACACATGCACCAAAAAAACAACGAAAAATAATGTCTTACGTGTAATTTATGAAGTTAAAGTGAAACTATTTCACTACAAGCAGAGATGGATGATGACTAACAGTGAGTCTCAACCTGTTTTGGAATGTTCAGCTGGACGTATCTGCATCTCATAGTTGATGTTCACTCCGTCACTCAAACTCAATACCGCTCGTTTCAAATATCATCGCATTATCCACTTAGCTACTGAGTTCGGATAGCCAATGCTAGCCATTATCCGTCTTTGCTTATAATGCTCAGGACTTGGGTAATATCAAAGCAATCTGCACAGGAAGGAAACGGGCCGATAAGAAATTGATTACTTTCAGTCCTCAACATCAGAAGGATGATTCAAACTACCAAAACAAAATGAATGAAACTATTTCACGTTTCAAATATACCATTTTATAGAAATCGAACTGTTATGTTAGTCGTCGCAAAAGCCAATGCATAACTCATTTATGCACAATGTATCAGTGAAGATATTTTGTCGTAATTAAAATCAGTTGAAGCAAAAAATTAGTTTTCCAAGAATTCTAATTTATTTTTTACTTCAAATAAAAGTGTTGTAAAGGAACTAGGATCTCTGATAGCTTTAAAATTATAGGCTATTGAATTTTTTAAAACCAGTTCTTTGTTTAAAAGACGAAGGGATTTTTAGTGGATATAAATGTGAACCTCGTATCATTTTTAGTTAGATTAGAATAATGTTTTGGATTTCAGTCAACCAGTAAACATTAGTTTAAGATTATATTAAGTCTTAGTGTGATTACTTATAGACTGATTAAACAATGTTTGAAGCAATTCAAGCTGAGAATCAATGTTATTATTCACAACACTAAGACATCAGTGGCATGCAGTTCCCTTTTTAATTAAATGAGCCTTTAGGAAGTTTTTAAATCACACTGGCTCATCTGTCCATTGTGCAATAAATTTATCTTCATTCTGAATTAATTCGGTTCTTAGGTAGAAGGTATTCTGCGTTAAATATGGTTTACCTGACCTATTTTAAAATGGAGCTTTACGAGTTTTACACATATAATTCAAATGAAGTTGATAAAAGGCAGTATGAAATAAGTGATTTAATTTAATCAGTCTTTATGTTCATTCTAACAACAATATTAGGATCTCTTGAAATAATTGAATATTAATATCATGAATTGAAATTGTCATCAGTCTGTTTTTAAAGATATAGCCTTGATATTTTCAAAGATCAGTAATGTAGTGCATTACAAGCATGCGTTTTGTTGCAATGTTGTTGTCTTTCTTTTGACAATGAACAATTTTGTTCCTCTCAAGTTTAACTGAATAACTCACTTGACCGTAAAACTTTGTATTAAATCTTACTTAGTTACTTACTCCTGTTACCCCTCATCGAGGACCATAGGCAACCCACCAGTATTCTCCATCCCACACTGTCCTGGACAATACTTTCCACTTACTATTCATCCCTTTCATGTCCGATTCCGATTCCCGATATAGTGTGTTCTCTGGCTTTCCTCTTTTCCGTCTCCCTTCACGATTCCATGTTAGGACTCGCTTCGGGATGCAATTTGATAAATTCCGCAATATATGTCCTATCCACTTCCAATGTCTTTTCTTAATTCCCTCTTCAGCTGGAAGCTGGTTTATTCACTCCCACAGTAGGCTGTTACTGATGGTATCCGAACAACGGACATTGGATATCTTACGTGAATAATTATTTATAAATACTTGTACCTTTTGATGATGGTTGTGATAGTTCTCCGAATTTCAGCTTCGTACAGTAGAACTGTCTTGACGTTCGTTTTAAGAAGATTTTTATTTTGATATTGGTTATATAAAATTTTCTTAAAGTAATTCTCATTTCTCATATTTCTTTATGATATAGAATGTTCATTGTGCTTGTATTACATTATGATAGAGAGCAGTTATCATATTATATCATGTACTATCAAATAAACAATTTTCTAAGTTTTTATACATCACCGGTTGATTGAACAAACGTAAGTCTATGTTGCATTAAACACGTGACTATCGTCAAGGAAACCAAAAGTGAAATTCTAGACGTCTATTCCTACGGAATAAATCGTCTTTCAATGGGGTCGGAACATAAATTAGAGCCTAAAATAAAACGTTAAAAAAGAAATTACTATTCATTAGTTAGTAAAAATTACTGATAAAATAAACAAATAAATATTTCTTGTCATTAGATGAAAAACTAAAGTGTAATTATTTTACATGAACTGCCTACTTGAGTTATGTTGTGTTTACTTACTATATTTATGTTGCTCATATCTGATCTATGACTGATAATCACTGCCATCGGTATCTACTTTTTGTTGTTGTTGAAAATCACTCAGACCACTGCTCACAATACCATCAAGGTCATTGATGAAACACCTGTTAGATCAAGGACAAACTTTTTGAACCTGAATGTGAAATTCTTTGGTTAAAGTTAACCGATGTAATAAAATGACTTACTTTGAATACAGTTTAACCTGTTATTAAATATATTTTCCAGTTCTAAGAAATTTATTTGTTTCATATATGTTAAGTTTTTTGAGCCTATATTAAGTGTAGTTATTCACAATAATTAAAATAAATGAAATCATTCCTTTTTCCATACATTTTATAAAATGATCTACAAGTGAAACACGAACCTAATGTAGTGAGAATGAAATGAGTTGTCAAGTTCTACAAATTAACTCTCTGATTGTATGCTTTGTTGTCATGTTGTTTTCTGTAATCAAATGTGTTACATATTGTATCCAATCAATACAACAGTTCAATCATTTATAGTATGAATTACTTTCAGTGTTAAGTGTAACAATGAAAATGTCACTGATAAAACATGTACCTACAGATTTTATGCAAATGTAGTTTCACAATGATTTAAAATTTTAATGTTAATTATTCAAGAAGTCAATTGTATGAACGAAGAATATACAATTGTGTTCTTAATATAATGGGAAATTTTCAGCAATTAAAATCTTGTATTCAAGAAGTACTGAAGTTTCAGAATTTTAATAGATCTTATCGAATAGAATAGGTAAATAAATTGTATCCAATATGATATACCTCCAAGGTGTAAGCTTTATCATTTTCAGTCTAACTATTCCTAATTATTAGCACAATAACTCTTTATAAACACAGAATTTTCATATTTCACTCCATCCCAACTAGCATATTTAGAATAGAAGTGTAAATTTGTGCTGAAACTTTCATAAACTAACATAAAAAATGATTACGTCTGTTGATAGGAGTTATTTACTTGATTTTAGTTATATTTATCTTAGGAAATACCAAATGAGAAAGCAAGTAACCTAGTGGGTCTATTTCATTCAACTTGGTTTCTTTTCCTTTGTGTTTTCTAAACTAAACTCTATTCATGAGCATTCATTTTTCTGGGTTCGAGTAGATATTTTCCTAAAATATTTAAGTTGAGAAACTGATTTTAGTTGTATTACATGTTGTGGTTTTCTATACTTACTTACTTACGCCTGTTACTCCCAATGGAGCATAGGCCGCCGACCAGCATTCTCCAACCCACTCTGTCCTGGGCCTTCTTTTCTAATTCCATCCAATTCTTGTTCATCTTTTTCATGTCTATTTCCATTTCTCGGCGTAATGTGTTCTTTGGTCTTCCTCTCCTCCTTTGGCCTTGAGGATTCCATGTGAGGGCTTGTCTTGTGACACAGTTGTGTGCTTTCCTCAATGTGTGTTCTATCCACTTCCAGCGCTTCTTCCTGATTTCTTCCTCCGCTGGGATCTGGTTTGTTCTCTCCCACAGTACGTTGTTGCTAATAGTGTCCGGCCAACGGATCTGAAGTATTTTGTGTAGACAACTGTTAATAAACACTTGTATCTTCTGGATGATGGCTTTCGTAGTTCTCCAGGTTTCCGCCCCATACAGTAGAACTGTCTTGACATTTGTATTGAAAATCCTGACCTTGGTGTTGATTGACAGTTGTTTGCTTAAGTAGATATTGTAAAAAGATTAGTTTTAATGTTTTCTGCAAGTTATTTTGGAGTATGGTTAAGTTAAAACATCATTTAGTTATGTAGGTCAGCTAGTGAGCTTAACTCTTATTTATATGTGTTGTTATTCCCCATTACTTTATATTACGGAATATTGTATAACCCATCAACAAATGTTAGTGACTGTTTGTACAAGTGATTATTTTGACTTTGATTAAAGAAAATTAATTCGATTAGAATAAAAGCATTGCAAAGAATTCAACTCATAAAGAAAAAAGAAATTTTACACTTATTAAACTTATAAGTAACCGATGAGAATTTTTAAGGTACAGTGAGCCCATATCATCCCAACTTCACTATTGTTATTTCTATCCGACTCATGATGATCTATGGACATTTTTTAAAGAACAGTTTTCATCATAACTTGAATAAGACATTGAAAATATTGTACTAAAATTGAAACTGTTTTTTTTGTACTTTTACTGGAAAATGATTACTAGTATGCTTCGTCTCTAGATTTATAAAGTATGAGCCTTTTAAAATTGTACCCTTAAGCAACTTTAGAATAGATTTATTGAATATTTATGAAATATATTTCAGACATGAATTTTTAAAAATTTAGTCATTTTTATATTAGTTTGTATCTTTTCATTGATGTTTAGGACTGCAATTGATCAGTCTCTTATTGCTCCGTGTCTTTCCTAAGTGGATTGTCTTGATATTACCTTAAGTTACAAGCATTCTAAACAAAGATGGATAGTGCCTAGCAGTGAATTTCAGGACGCGCGATTCGTCCTATTTGGGACTCATTAGTTGGATGGAACTTTTATCCGGACTCACTAGCTAAGTGAATAACGCCGTGGTATTTGAAGCAAACGGTATTGGGTTTGA